AAATACAACAGTTGTTTTATATTTAAATTATAAAAATATTAAAAATGTTGAAATTATTGTTGAAATTAAAAAAAATTATAAAAGAATTTCATCATCACTATAATTGTGTTATCACAATCGTCTGCAAGTTCATTAGAAGAAGTTTTTACAGTAAATTATGGTAGAAATCATTATAATTCCGATGCAAACCAACTCAACCTTGGCCACACTATATGTTAGAAGCCGTGATAATTCCAATATAACCCAATTTATGTGTTGCGCACTACAGTATAGCTAGTAAGCTTTGTAAAAATTGGGTTATAGTAAATCATGTATAACTCCAATACAATATAACTCAACCGCATACTGTGTGTCATCGCAATCGTCTACTGCATAAGTTCAGCAACAGAATTTTTACAATAAATCGTGGTAGAAATCGTGATAATTCCAATACAAACCAACTCGGTATGTCACTACAATAGCTGGTAAGTTCTATAATATGATTTTTTATAGTAAATCACGTTAGAAGCCGCGATAATTCCTAATTTCTGTGACACTATATTAGTAGTAAATCATGATATAGGTCAAAACTTTAACTGGTCAATCAAAAATCTAACTGATTCACTGGACTTATTTCCATAACGGGTCTTCAAACCATCAACTCGGATTCGGATTAGAGTTGCAGGTGAAATTGATAAACTAAATATAATGGCCAATGAGAAACTCAGGTTGAAACTACAATTCTAATTTAATTTGGATTCGGATCTGGTCTATGCAACGGGTTTGAAAAACTGGTACTGGATACAGGTACATGTTAGGGTTAGGGACAGTAGTTTTCATTGCTAGCAATGAATTTTCCATATCTGATATTAATTTTACGTACTGTACGTACGTACCTGATACAGTGTTAGTTCGAATACCCTTTGTATAATACTACTTTCATACCTATTAAGAATATTTGCGAAGCACTGTTGTAAAAAATTGCAGGCTATTTAAAATATGCAAGAACATTGCAAGTTTCTATAACTAATACATTTCATTTAAGCTTTGAAATATGAAAATAATGCAATTCGCAATATTTGTTGTAGATGAACTCTAATATTATAAAGCAATTCAGGTCGAGGCAAAAGATGAAAAAATAGTCAGGTGCATAGGGTGGGAATGGCCTGACATTTGTATATTGCATTGTAAAATTGTAATTCCAGTGTAATTCGGCACTCTTATTGGGTGCAAGAATATCCTGACAAGTCTCAAAACAGGACTTACACTAATGTTACTCGTGTAACACTATAATTGCAAATAAATATGGTCCAACTTTAGAATGTTCGCTATATATATCGATTTAACTTTTGAATGAGCAATATATTCCAAACGCAGTAATATCACTTTTCACAGTTAATTTAAACTATCCAGCTTTAAAAGTTTTTTGTTTAGAATAGTACGTGTAAAATAAAGATGTCAGGGGGGAGAAAGTTCAAGCCAAAAGAACCATATACCCATCGTTTAAAAAAGATTCTTGTAGAATATCCTGAAAGCTCTCAAGTTCTCCGCGAAATTTTACAAAATTCTGATGATGCACAAAGTACAGAACAAGTATTTATACTTGACCATAATACATATCACGGCAATAAACTCCTTGAGTCTGAGCTTAGTAGATTTCAGGGACCTGCGCTATTGTCGAAAAATAACACAAAGTTTAATGATGATGATTTTAAATCATTGGAGAATCTAGCTGACAGTGAAAAACAAGACCAATATGATAAAATTGGAGAAATGGGTGTCGGTTTTAATTCTATTTACCATTTATGTGACAGTTGCTCATTCATCACTGATGATAAATTTGTAATTCTTGACCCTCATGAGTGGTGCTATGAAGGAGGCAATGTGTATGACAATTTTGCCAGAGATAACTTGTCTCAAAAATATTCTGATCAATTTTATCCTTTTAAAAATCTCGGTAAACTTAGCATTCCATGTGATGGATCATTTGAAGGAACGATCTTTCGATATCCTTTGCGTACTAAACAAGGTTCTAAAGAATCAAAAATTTCAAAAACAATATATGAACCAAATCAAATTCTGGAAATGTTTAAAACGTTTTTTGAAAAGGATAGCATTAATTGCCTACTTTTTCTTAGATACATTGAGCGTATTGAATTTTACGAGTTGAAGGAAGGAAAATCTGAGCCTGAATTACTCTATAGGATTTTACTGAAAGATGCAGAAAAAGTACGCAAAAAACGTCAGCTTATCGTTAAGGAAATCACTCCGATGATGAAGGATCTTAAAGGAAACAAACTTAAGCAAAGAGCATCATTAGACACATCATATCATGTATCCCTTGTTAGGTATGAAAAGGAGGTTATTATAGAAGATTCTTCATGGTTTATTGTGAATATGCTTGGTGATTTACATGAGACGAATCGCTACTTTCGGGGTGACTTCGGAGAAAGACTTGGTACTGTACCAAACGTAGGGTTGGCTGCAAAATTAAATTCAGGTCAGGATGAAGATGAACTTCATGGTGGATTATTCTGCTTTTTCCCTCTTCAGATTGATACTCCATTTCGAGTTTCCATAAATGGACATTTTGCAGTAAGTTAACCTTTTCTTGTTGGGCATTAAAATTTTACAATTCCAATGTGGTTAACCTTTATGCAATAGGTTACTAATAATCGACGTGACCTATGGTCTGGCATGAATAAAGATTTGGTATTATACGTATAATTTATTTTCATAACTATTAATACTAGTGACTAAACATTTTCATAAACGTTTAACTTGTTTCAGGCCACTAATTCTTTGGCTAATTTGAAAGTTAGATGGAATCATTATCTTTTCAAAGAGGTAATTGATTAGTTTCAAGTTATTGAAAATTATAAGAGCGAGAGCTAAGTCTAATGTAAAAAAAATTTTCAGACTATACCACAAGCTTGGGTTAAATTTCTTATCGAGATTCAGCCGCATGTGTCTCAAGAAGATTACTATGAGTTCTGGCCAATTCTGGATTCAGTTCAACTTATTTCATCTCCTTTCTTCATAAACCTTTTAGAAAGCACTATTAGTAAGCTTAATTCAGAAGATAAAATTTTCTGTGGGCCCAGCGAAATGCTATCTATTTCGACAGGGTACTTTCAAGATGAATCGTATATCGAACCCGTTATTCAAAATATATTGAGCAAGATTGAATTTCCAGTTATTCATGCTCCCTCCGAAATCATCAAAGCATTAAAAAAATCGGATATGCATTCACCCAGGTTTTATTCTCCTAGTATTGCGAGCGAATTTCTTCAAGGAGATAGAGGCAAATGGCAAAATAAACTGACAAGAGAAGAGACTTTAGAATTGTTCAATTACTTATTGCGTGATGAAAATTATGAGATATTGGAAGGATTAAAAATGATTCCATTAGCCGATGGAACATTTAAAACAATATCTCAACACGGCACAATCACATATATATGTCCAGATAGCTTTATAGGTAAAGGTGAAAAGGATCCGCGCGAAATTTTTAAAGATCAATTAGACAAGTTTATTGCTAAAGACCTTTCATACAGTTTATTGAGTCGTTTGAGCAATAAAGTAACAACAAATAAATGGAATTTTAACATCAAGATGTTAACTGTACCAATTATTGCAGGCATGGTTAAAGACAAGATTTATCTAAATCATCCCAACTCTAATGATATTGAGATTGATATTGAAAACCGGGTTGAATGGATTAATCGACTATGGAATTATTTATGTGACAAATTTAATGATTTGGCTTCATTCGAAGATATTCACCTTATACCAACAAAACAGAATACTCTCAGAAAACTTAAGACAAATCAAATAAAACTTTTTTGGAACAGTACTGAAGGATTACAAAGCTCTTTTGATCAGATACATTCTATTCTAGAAAAGTTTGGCATAATTTTTGTAAACGGAGAGTTTGAAGACAACATAGCCTATCTAAAGATAAGGTACATACTGAAATATTCACTATTATTCAACAAATGGTAATGCTTGTTTTATTAACCTTTTCACTAACTATATCAATAGGCTCTCAGCATACATTCATAATATAAAAGACATTAAATCTGTTTTATCATCATTAAACACCAATGAAGTGTATGATTTGTACCCGCATGAAGCAGAACTTTTCATAAGATATTTATCTTATTGCTTATACATGACTTCACCTCTTACAGAGGATCATATTGGATTTATAAAATGCTTACCAATTTTTAAAGAGGTTGGTAAAGATGGGTTTATTAGTCTAAAGCACAAAGAAAAAGCTTATTGGTTCCTTTTACCGAGAGAGGATGAAAAGGAATATGGTCAGATAATCGCACCGACGAAATTTGGATTTCTTGATGCAACATCAACGGACACATGTTATTTACTTGAAAAAATTATCAAAATTCGACGTTTGTCACAAGCTGAATATTGGATAAATTACGTAGTACCTCACTTGAAAGTTCACCAAAATACAAAGATTGTAATTGAGAAGCTTTTTGAACGATTACCAACCCTTATTAATTCAGACTATTCACTAAAAGGCAAATTAAGTAATCTCGCCATTGTGCCTTGCGGGACAATTAGAATGGCTGAGGAGAAACAAGATCTTGACACAGTTATGCGTAGACCTATTGACCTCTATGATCCCTCGAACCATAAAATAACTCAATTATTTTTCGACGATGAAGAAACCTTCCCGGCAGAAAAGTTTTCGAATCTACATTATCCCCTTTTGAAAAATCTGGGGATTAAAACCTCACTTTCATCAAAAGATGTCGTCGAGAGAATTAATACATACGTAAAACGTCAGAAAACAGGGAATAATATCGATGATGTGTACGATAAATCACTTAATCTTCTTATTTATATCGATAAAAATTGGGATTCATTCGGAGACAATAATAATGAATTCTTATCAAACGTCAAGTCTTCAAAATGGATTCCAACTATTAATAAATTTGGTAAAAAGTCATTCTCTTGTTCATCCGAATGTCGTGATAAAAGAGATATGTACTCAGTATCATTAGCCCTTTCAATTCTTGATTATAAAATCGATAATAAACAATTTCGCAAACATTTGGAATGGAACAGATATCCTCATGTAAGAATCGTTCTTAATCAAATGGAGCTATGTTCTACAATGCCTAAGGACAATTTAAACATTAAGAATCAGCCAAAAATTTGCGAAGCGATTTACCAATACATTAATGAGGCTTTGTCGTCCGATGACGAACAGTCTAAACAAGAGGTCAAAGAATTAAAGGAAGGGCTAAAAGGCATAAAATGGATATACTGTGAAGGCAATTTTTATGCTTCAAAGGATGTTGTTTTTACTCTTTCGCTGAATTTTGGAAAAGAACTACCGATTATTCAACTACCTGCTGATTACCAAAATAAGTTTAGTAAAGTATTTGAACATATGGGGATTCGAAATAAAGTTGATACTTTTGATTTCATTGATATAATCAGGAACATTGCTCATGAAGCAGACAATAAACCACTAAATGAAGAAAATTTGTCTAAAACAATTAGAGTTCTTGATCAAATCGGAAAGGAGTGCACTAAGTCTAAAAAAGAGGGAAAATTTAATGATTTGAAAAAGTTGTTTATTCCAAGTACAGATGCTATTCTTGTCAATTTTGACGAAATTAAATTTGATGACAGGACCGGACAAAGTAATGAAGAGAAGGAAAATTGCAAACTCTCTCATCCTAAAATATCACTTGCACTTGCAAGGGAACTTGGAATTCAAATGTTTTCTGAAATGTTCACAAAAGATAGTGAGATTAATTTTGAAGATTATGAACAATCAGAACCTTTAACAACCAGGATAAGAAAGATTATTAGCGTAATTGTCATCATATTTTTTAAGTTACTATAACTTAGATTTATAATTTGCTGTTTCTTAAATTAATATAATTTTTATTAATATATAGTATTGTACTCTTGATTCCTTGTTCAAAGAATTTCTCCAGGTATTATATTGAATAAGTCTCTTTAGAATATTTACAAGTTGTATACATAACCCATGTATTTATTATTATTTAATAATTAGAATGCTGATGACGCAGGAGCACGCAGATTTTCCATCTATATCGATGAGAGACCATGGCATGAGAATGATCGTTCTTTACTCTTATCTGAAGAAATGTATAATTGGCAAGGCCCAGCTGTTTGGATTTACAATGATGCGACATTTGAAGAAAAAGATTTTTCTTCATTAACTAAACTCGGAGTCGGAGGCAAATCTGGTGATGATAGTAAAATTGGTCGTTTTGGCATTGGAATTACCACTTCTTACCATTTAACTGATGTATTATCTTTTGTGAGCGGAGAACAAATTGCTTTTCTTGATCCTCATGCAAAGTTTCTTCCGATTCATGGAAATCCTCCAAAACGGTCTAAGGGAATTAAATTAAATTTTCTTGAGAAAAAATTTCTAACTCACTTTGAGGATCAGTGTAGGCCATATCTTGCTATAGAAGATTGTGATTTTAAAAAATTTTTTAATGGTACCTTATTCAGGTTACCACTTAGAAGCGTCAAATTATCCGGACAAAGTTTAGTCTCGCAAAATTCAGTAGAACCCAAGGATATTTTAGACTACCTTTGTAATGTGAAAGGTAACCATGAGATTCTCTTTTTGAGAAACATCGAAACATATAACGTATATCATATAGATAAAGATAAACACGAGCCAAAATTACTATGGGAAGCGAAAATTCAAGATTTGAAAGATGTTGAAATTCGCAGAAAAGTCGATTATGAATCACAAGTTTTTCAACTTGATACAAAAATCTGTGATGCACAAAAGAATAAGACAACTTTTGAGAAGTGGCTTGTATGCACAGGTGGAAAGCCCGATATCACAGATCATGAGTTAAATAAATTTTCAAAAAATGAAAGACTAACTGTACGTATGCTTTGAAATTCATCACTTCGAATTTTTGCATAATGTAATCAATATTAACTCATAATTTGTCTCAAGGCACATGGTGGTATCGCTGCTATTCTTGCACGATCAGAAAATGAAGCCTTAAACAATCCTTTAGATGTAATATAATTTATATATTAATATGTGTGTGAAATTCATATTTTATTATTTCTTTGCAAATAATGACTCATTGAATTATTTATGCAGCTAATAGATCCGCCAGACCTTGATGGCAAAGAATATGCTTATGTTTCATGCAATGGTTCTACAAATTTGGGAGTTCACATAAATGGCAATTTTTCTTTGTCTAGAGATAGAATGGTTATTTTACAGCCAAATGATAACATCTGTGGAAAGTGGAATAAACACATTTTTCTTGAAGTTCTGCCGTCTTTGCATGTTAAATTATTGGATGGAATCGCTAAGATAGATTATGAACATTTCAAGACGTCTAATACCATTGCCGAAAATTTTGTTTCATGCATAACCAAAAAATTTTGGCCATTCAGCCAATTTAATTCGGGTTTGGATTATAGATATGCGATAAAAGTACTGCAAAACCTTGATGATAGCGAGGTGTTTTGGACAGAAGCTGATGGGGGTAAATTTGTATCATTAAAAACTGCATACTTTTCCGAGGAAAACGATCATGCTATTGCAAATATTCTTGCCAAATATGGGATTCCAACGGTGAAGATGGACGAAAACACACTTCGTCAACTAAAAGAATCTCAAAAGCAAAAAGGAAGGCCTGCTAAAAAATATCAAGTTATCAGTCCTGCATCAGTTTATAAATTATTGCAAGAATCTAAGATTATAGAATCTATTCAACAAGAGCAAAATGATTCTACGAACCCACATGAACATGTTTTAATTTTGCTAAAGTTCGTTTTGCAAGATAAGAACTTATATTCGAATTTAAAAGGGTTCCAGTTGGTACCCTTAAAAGATGGTTCTCTTGGTACTTTTGGCAAACGAAATTATTACATAGCGAAGCAAAAATATCAATATTTATTTCCAAAATCTGGTCCTTCCTGTTTTGTTTATGATTCAGACGATGAACTTAATAAGATTTTCGAGAATAAAGATTTTTCGAGGATTACAAATATTAAGAAGCTTGACGCTCTAGGTATACTTGATCTTTTGGCTGTTGAGCTTCCAAATCAACAGGAAATCCATTGGGATCCTTCCTCAGAAGATATTCCTAATCGAAATTGGCTTGATGAAATCTTAGAAAAAATGAAATGGGGCGCAGAATTAGAAATTACAAGGTTATTGGAATATCCCTTGCTCCCTGTTATTTCACCAATAAACAAACTTGTTCGAATGGATCTTTCAAATCCTTTATTGAACTGTTCAGACAATCCTGATGAAGTTCTTGTGCGCGTTCTCAGAAAATTAGGAATTTGTCTCACGAACATAAAATTTAATAATAGGAATATTAATAGATCAGAATTTTTTAAAAAAGGTGTGGTTAAATGGAGCTATTATAATGTATTTGATTCTATTAAGAGAAAACAAGAATCACAAAACATTTCCATGAAGTCATTTTTCGACAATGCAATGTTGAATGAAGTTGAATTTAAAAAACTTAGAGAGTTCGTTAAAGATTTCTTCAATTTTCAAGGTTTGTTTTATAGAACCTTTTGATTTGATTTGATGTAATTCCTTTTTATTCTGTCTCTTGAAAAAAATTTTTCCTACTACTCAAGGGCGGAAAGATAATATTATTGAGGTTATTAAAGAATTTCCAATATGGCCGATTCGTTCATCAAGACCGAATGATTATGTTTCTGCAAAGAATGGAAAGCTGCCACCACGTCATCTTTCTTGCTATTTGCCGGATACTAACATATTTATTGTGGAAGATGAATATTTTATTGTACTTGATTCACTTGGCGCTAAAAAAATTGAAGCGTACGACTATGTAAAACAACATTATCCTCCTGATTTAGGTCGATCACCGACGCAACAAGATGTAGAATTCCTTGAAGAAGTTCTTGTGCTTGGAGATCATAAAATTGAGGAATACCTTAAAAATTGTGAATCGATTCCCAATAAGAATCTCAGAGTATTTGCAAGGGCTGATACTCTATTCGATGCAAGTATAACCTTATTTAGTCAAATCTTTGGTGAGGATGAATTTCTCCCTTCTGAATTACAAAAGAACCTTAGTTGCCGTGCTGCCTTATCAAGGATAGGGCTCAATCAGTCTATAAATATAAAGACATATATGAAATGTGCTGGAAAAATTGAGAAGAAAATCAATGATACCAGTGGTAATTGTACTGATGAAATAATTAGATCCAGTGCAAAAACATTAGCAGAATGTCTTAATAGCTTATTATTTAAAGATGATGAATTGAAACAACTTTCTAAAATAAAATTTTTGCCTTCTAATAAAAGTCTTCCTAATCCTTATAGCAAGACAACTCCTTATACTTCAGGATATGAATCTTTTAACTCATTGTATCCTGAAAAATATCTAAAAATATGTTGGACACAAGCGAAATTTTTTGCTTCTGATATTCCACAATTCGTACATCGTCCAAATGTGGAAATGGTTATTGAACATTGGAATCGTTTGTTTGTTGATAAAATTCTTCTGAACAGTTCAGAATGGGAAGTTAAAGACATATACCAAATTATGAAAGAAATTTATCAATTTGTGAATGACTCTTTGGAAGAAGGAATTACAAAACCTAAATTAAAAGATTTGTATTTCTTGAACGGTGATAATCCTTTTGATCTTGATTGTTGGGTTTTGGGCAATAATCTGGCCTTTGGCATTCAAAATTATGAAGGCAGATTGAAAAAAGTACGTAACCATTTGGAACCATTTAAAAAACTATTGGAAGCTGCGGGTGCAAGAACTGTGAAAAATAATATACCAATTGATGAAGCACCAAATAAACATTCGCGACGAAAAGATGTGTTGGTTAAATATTTAATCAAATATTTGCAAGATCAGAAGCCCGATTCTCAATATCATGATGTCATATTCAAAGTTGGGAATCATGAAATTGGCGCAAATAGTTTTGTTCTGTCAGGTATACATTTTAAAATTTGCTTTTTAGGCCATAAATTTAATACATTGGTTCGGATAGTTTTAACTAAAATGTCTGAAATTTATAAAAATAAAATAAAATCTGGGTGTTGGGTCTCCTTTTTTAAAATTTTGTACTAATAATTTTCTTAAATTTTTCAGATGTTGCAGAGTACTTTGACTGGGAATTTTCTGTAAATCCTATAATAATTAATGGCATTCAGCCCAACACATATAAAGTACTCTTGAGATCGCTTTACGGTATGTCATATCCGGATGCAGTTGAAGACGTTTTTGGAGAGGGGTTTGACGGACAACATTATGTAGAATTTATACTTGACTTTTTGAGGGCATCATATAAATACCCACCTTTAAATGATTTAATTCAAACCAACATCATGAAACGTCGTCTTGTAAACGAAAGGAATGCGAAGCAGATATTGGAACTGAGTCTCAAGTATAGAGCAGATCGGCTTAAAAATTACTGTGAAAATTATATCGAAGAAAATAAAGATATTGTGGATGCAATAGGCACCAACCAAATTATTCCACAAAATTGCACAGAAGATATCACCCAAAATATTCCGCAAAATTGTACAGGTTAACGCAATTGATATGAAATAATATATTTAATTAATTGTTCTGATTTGAATATCTTTGTAACCATAACATGCAAAGTTCATAATTTTTGCTAAAAATAAATTTTGTTTGCAAAAAATAACCGTAAATTAAAATTAAGTAATTGTTAAAATCTTCACAAGCGACTATAAATAATAAATGTGTGCATTTGTTATAATATAGGTAAAGTTAGCTTCAGTAAGTTACTTGTGTGAAGATGATAAGATAATCTGACTTTATTTAAACGCTATTTAAAAAGTCGTTATCTGTTCGAAATAAGTTTCTAATATAATGAAAGGTTTGAATGAAAAGACTATTTATAACATAAAGTTAACCAGGATATAAAACTTTTAAATTATAATTATCGCTCGAATACTCTTTGCTACATTACTGATACATGGAAATAACATATGGCATATTGTTTGTTTTTTACATTTTTTCCCTGGCATAATAACTTCTAACCATTCCTATTGCTATATAATTTGTCTCCGTTCTTTCACAATCTTTCGTTTCCTTTGTTTCACGGTCTAAAGTGCAAATCAAATATCCTTTATTTCTGTACTTGAAGTATTGCTCGCAATAGCTATAAAAGACTCTGGATTTGAACTAACTTACACTTATATCACTATGCTTCCATATTGAGTATTTTTTTCTATTTCCTGCTTTGATATTTAGAGCTCTTGTGCTGCTATTGTATAGCCTTCTTTTCATCAAACGGTCCTCGTGCTGTGTATTACAGTTTTGGAGCCATGACTATATAGGTCCTATAGTGATGGTCACTGGAACGTTCCAGTGAAAATTACTGGAACTGGAAGATCACTGGAACTAACTGGAAGGAATTAGTAAAAAATATCTTCCAATAGTAAGTTGTCACTGGACCTTTCCGGTGAGAAATTTTAGTCCACTGGAAGGAAGATCCAGTTACTTCCGATGACTTCCAGTGATTCCAATGATTTTATAATTTTAGCTTCCAGCAGAATTATGTATTAGATTACACATAGGAATTATAACATGTAGTACACAGTTAAATTTAAAGAAAATAAAAATACGTTTAGGCTATCTAGCATATTAGTTACAGCTTTTAAATTCTATAAATTCACATATAATCTGACTACAAAACAAGATAAAAATTTACTAATTAAATATGTCTACTATTATTAAAAAATAAATAATAATAATTATGTGCCTTTTGTGGTAAAGAAAAAAAAAGGAATCGACACACAATAATTAAGTGAATCCACGTCCATATTATTTTACTAACAATCATTTTATAGACAACTTAGTTATAGGCAATTAATTTACAGACAAGATTATTTACAGACGGTTAATCCACAGACAAATTTATTTTGTAGACAATATATTTCATACCAATTTTTTTACAAATTCACCAATTTTAAATTTAACCTTAATGACAATAACAGAATTAATTTGTCTGTGAATAGTCGACTGTAAAATAACCTTGCCTGTAATCTAATTCTCTATGAAGTTGTCTGTGAAGTAATTGTTGGTGTGTTACTACTAAATAAAAATATTACAGTAAATAAAAAGCTTAATAAAATAGAATTAAGTCGCAATAAACGAAATTTGACCTTAAGGCAGTCTGTTGATAGCGATACTGTATACCATATTTTCGCAAAATACGTAATGGGCATGGGCATTGTTTAGAAAATCGTGTCCCCTAAAAATAGCATGTACGGTGTGAAGGGCTCCGGAGTTCCGACCCTATGAATTTTTTTTATTATTATTATTTAGTACTACTATTATTATTATTTATTACTGTTATTATATGTTATTATTTATCGCCATTATTTTTTTTTTTTGCCGTAGTAAAATAGAACAGGGGAATCATTACCTTTTTAAGCTTTTGAACTTTTCGTCCTGCCCTTATTGAACTTTACGCTCCAATCCTTCTCGAACTTTTTGTCCCGTCCTTATTGAATTTTTTACACTGAACTTTCTGAACTTTATGAACCAGTATAGTACTTTTTACTAGTAAAGAATAGAAGGAAATTAGTAGTAGTCGCAGCAAAAGAAAATGTATAAATATGGAGCTTTTGACGCTCCCAGAAAAATAACTCATTAGAGTTCTAACTTCGAAAGATAAAATAGTAGAAGTTGTTCTCCTTAATAAAACTTCCCTTTTTCTAAAATAAAACTGTTCGTAATAATAATAAATCGTTAAACGAAAAACCTTGTACCCGTGATCTTGCTAAAATACCAGTATCCAAGTTTCGTGAGAAAAAGAGAAAATAAATATCAATTAAAAATCAAATCTCCAATTAGACTATAAATTATTTCGTCACTATTACCATTGTCTGCTTATTACGTCTGCTTATTACCGTAATTTTCCATGCAAGGTACCCCCCTTGATCAGTACCCCCCCTTGATTCGTACCGGGTACGTTTCAAGGTCATTGGATGTAGTATATTGTAATATACCCGGGTACGAATCAAT